CAAGTTAAATAACAAAACCATGACTTCTCTATCATGGTTCTTACTGTCCGTCTCTCCGTCCGTCCTCCATAGATATCCATATTTTAATTGAATGGTTTTCAGATATATTCTCACAGCAGACATCTGATATTGACCATTGAAGGAGGCAGAAAATATGTCAAATGTACATTTTCAAAACAAATAAATACATTGCGGCATCATTACTGGGCATCAAACCGCTGTTATTTCAACAGTGCTGTCCCCATTGTTTTTCCAACATGGAAAAAATACATGCATTTTGTTGACGATGCAAATACCAGTATGTGTATGGGCACAGCACTCTGGTGTTGACAGGGATGGAAGCGGCTGAACGTGTGTAAGTGTATGGAATGGAACCTTGAATCTCACTAAACACAAGCACCACTTACAGTGGCTTGCGAAAGTATTCACCCCCCTTGGCATTTTTCCTATTTTGTTGCCTTACAACCTGGAATTAAAATGGATTTTGTGGGGGGTTGTATCATTTGATTTACGCAACATGCCTACCACTTTCAAGATGCAAAATATTTTTTATTGTGAAACAAACAAGAAATAAGACAAAAAAACAGAAAACTTGAGAGTGCATAACTATTCACCCCACCCAAGTCAATACATTGTAGAGCCACCTTTTGCAGCAATTATAGCTGCACGTCTCTTGGGGTATGTCTCTATAAGCTTGGCACATCTAGCCACTGGGATTTTTGCCCATTCTTCAAAGCAAAACGGCTCCAGCTCCTTCAAGTTGGATGGGTTCCTCTGGTGTACAGCAATCTTTAAGTCATACCACAGATTCTCAATTGGATTGAGGTCTGGGCTTTGACTAGGCCATTCCAAGACATTTAAATGTTTCCCCTTTAACCACTTGAGTGTTGCTTTAGCAGTATGCTTAGGGTCACTGTCCTGCTGGAAGGTGAACCTCCGTCCCAGTCTCAAATCTCTGGAAGACTGAAACAGGTTTCCCTCAAGAATTTCCCTGTATTTAGCGCCATCCATCATTCCTTCAATTCTGACCAGTTTCCCAGTCCCTGCCGATGGTGTTCTCGGGGGGATGAGAGGTGTTGGGTTTGTGCCAGACATAGCGTTTTCCTTGATGGCCAAAAAGCTCAATTTTAGTCTCATCTTACCAGAGTATCTTCTTCCACATGTTTGGGGAGTCTCCAACATGGCTTTTGGCGAACACCAAACATGTTTGCTTATTTTTTTCTTTAAGCAATGGCTTTTTTCTGGCCACTATTCCATAAAGCCAAGCTCTGTGTAGTGTACGGCTTAAAGTGGTCCTATGGACAGATACTCCAATCTCCGCTGTGGAGCTTTGCAGCTCTTTCAGGGTTATATTTGGTCTCTTTGTTGCCTCTCTGATTAATGCCCTCCTTGCCTGGTCTGTGAGTTTTGGTGGGCGGCCCTCTCTTGGCAGGTTTGTTGTGGTGCCATATTCTTTCCATTTTTTAATAATGGATTTAATGGTGCTCTGTGGGATGTTCAAAGTTTCGGATATTTTTTTATAACCCAACCCTGATCTGTACTTCTCCACAACTTTGTCCCTGACCTGTTTGGAGAGCTCCTTGGTCCTTCATGGTGCTGCTTGCTTGGTGGTTCCACTTGCTTAGTGGTGTTGCAGACTCTGGGGCCTTTCAGAACAGGTGTATATATACTGAGATCATGTGACAGGTCATGTGACACAGATTGCACACAGGTGGACTTTATTTAACTAATTATGTGACTTCTGAAGGTAATTGGTTGCACCAGATCTTATTTAAGGGCTTCATAGCAAAGGGGGTGAATACATGTGCACGCACCACTTTTCCGTTATTTATTTTTTACAATTTTTTGAAACAAGTTATTTTTTTCATTTCACTTCACCAATTTGGACTATTTTGTGTATGTCCATTACATGAAATCCAAATAAAAATCAATTTAAATTACAGGTTGTAATGCAACAAAATAGGAAAAACGCCAAGGGGGATTAATACTTTTGCAAGGCACTGTACAGGGCACAGTTAGGGATTGGTCATTAAAAATGGACAAATCAATTGCTTGTTGTGTGTAACTATCTACAGGTAACTGCCAAAATAAAGGAAACACCAACATAGCATCTTTATAGAGCGTTGGGCCACCACAAGCCGCCAAAACAGCTTCAATGTGCCTTAACATTGATTCCACAAGTGTCTGGAACTCTTTCGGAGGGATGCGACACCATTTTTCCACGAGACATTCCATCATTTGGTGTTCTGTTGATGGTGGTGGAAAACGCTGTCTCAGGCGTCGCTCCAGAACGTCCCATAAGTGTTCAATTGGGTTGAGATCTGGTGCCTGACTGGCTGACACGCAAACATGCACACACCCTTTAAACCCTCTATGCTCCTTTGAGACCCTCTTTCAAGGTCACTAAGATCTCTTCATCTAGCCATGGTAGCCAAAATAATGGGCAACTGGGCATTTTTATACATGACCCTAAGCATGATGGGATGTTAATTGCTTAATTAACTCAGGAACCGCACCTGTGTTAGTTCTGAGCGATTAGCTGAAATTTCAGTTTATTTTCGGTTTTTAGATAACTAATTGGCCAACATCAGTTGAATTATTTATGTCTTTTATTTTGTAATGTTTTTACCAACTTTTTCTCCCCAATTTTGTGATATCCAATTGCGATCCACTTACGATCTCGGGAGAGGCGAAGGTCGAGTCATGTGTCCTCCGAAACATGAACCGCCAAACTGCGCTTCTCAACACCCGCTCGCTTAACTCGGAAGCCAGCCGCACCAATGTGTCGGAGGAAACACCGTTCAACTGACGACCGAAGTCAGCCTGCAGGTGCCCGGCCCGCCACAAGGAGTGGCTAGAGCGCGTTGAACCAAGTAAAGCCCCCCCCCCCCCCAACAACTGAAATATTTTATTAAAGTCATGTGAATAAAGGATGGTTGAATAAAGGATGTGTTGTTACTGCATTCAACCCACATAATGCACCCACACAAATGTTAATAGAAAACTGTGATTATTTTTCAAAAACAGAACAGAAACCCGAACCAACTTCAAAAAGCTCTAATCATTCAGCACTAACCTCTGTGGAAGCACCTGGTTTCTATATACAGTGCAATCAGAAAGTATTCAGGCCCCTTGACTTTTTCCACATTCTGTTATGTTACAGCCTTATTCTAAAACAGATTAAATCTACACACAATAACCCATAATGACAAAGCAAAAACAGTTTGAGAAATTTTTGCAAATGTATTAAAAATAAAAAACGGAAATATGACATTTACATAAGTATTCAGACCCTTTACTCAGTACTTTGTTGAAGCACCTTTGGCCGCGATTACAGCCTCGAGTCTTCTTGGGTATGACGCTACAAGATTGGCACACCTGTATTTGGAAAGTTTCTCCCATTCTTCTCTGCAGATCCTCTCAAGGACATTCAGAGACTTGCCCCGAAGCCCCTCCTGTGTTGTCTTGGCTGTGTGCTTAGGGTTGTTGTCCTGTTAGAAGGTGAACCTTCGCCGCAGTCTGAGGTCCTGAGCGCTCAGGAGCAGGTTTTCATCAAGGATCTCTCTGTACTTTGCTCCGTTCATCTTTCTCTCGATCCTGACTAGTCTCCCAGTCCCTGGCGCTGAAAAACATCTCCGCAGCATGATGCTGCCACCACCATGCTCCACCGTAGGGATGGTGTCAGGATTCCTCCAGACGTGACGCTTGGCATTCATGCCAAAGAGTTCAATCATGGTTTCATCAGACCAGAGAATTTTGTTTCCCATGGCCTGAAAGTCCTTTAAGTGCCTTTTGGCAAACTCCAAGCGGGCTGTCATGTGCCTTTTACTGAGGAGTGGCTTCCGTCTGGCCACTTTACCATAAAGGCCTGATTGGTGGAATGCTGCAGAGATGGCTGTCCTTCTGGAAGGTTCTCCCATCTCCACAGAGGAACTCTGGAGCTCTGTCAGAGTGACCATCAGGTTCTTGGTCACCTCCCTGACCAAGGCCCTTCTCCCCCGATTGCTCAGTTTGGCCGGGCGGCCAGCTCAAGGAAGAGTCTTGGTGGTTCCAAACTTCTTCCATTTAAGAATGATGGAGGCCACTGTGTTCTTGGGGACCTTCAATGCTGCAGAAATGTTTTGGTACCCTTCCCAAATCTGTGCCTCGACACAATCCTGTCTCGGAGCTCTACGGACAATTCCTTCGACCTCATGGTTTGGTTTTTGCTCTGACATGCACTGTCAACTGTGGGACCTTATATAGACAGGTGTGTGCCTTTCCAAATGATGTCTAATAGAATTTACCACAGGTGTACTCCAATCAAGTTGTAGATACATCTCAAGGATGATCAATACTTATGTAAATAACGTATAAATTAGTATTTTTTTTTACATTTGCAAAACTTTCGAAAAACCTGTTTTCTCTTTGTCATTATGGGGTATTGTGTGTAGATTGATGAGGATAATTTTTTTTAAAATCCATTTTACAACAAGGCAGTAACATAACAAAATGTGGAAAAAGGGAAGGGGTCTGAATACTTCCCGAATGCACTGTACTTTGTACCCCTCATTCACGCAAGTATTTCCTTTATTTTGGTAGTTACCTGTATGTACGCACCACAATAAAATCCCTTAAAATGTCATAAATATGCAGGTTCTCAGGGTCCGCAAAAGAATGGTGATAGACTCACCCACTCGTCTTCAGTAACTCTTTCCCATTCTATCCAATGTGTTTCTGTTTCACTAGCCATGCTATAGGAGCCCAGACACTGTGGAGGTAAGTGGGGCAGAACAGTAGTAGACTGCTCTGTGAGCCTTTAGATCCACAGGCTGGAGGAGGAGCCACATACAGTGTTGTGGTGGACATGCAATAGAGAGAGAAGCACACTCTAAAGCATGGCTCTTCTCAGGCTGCGGATGGCGACCCCCCCCCCCCCCCCCCCCCCCCCAAACCTTGTGTCCCCTCCCTGGTTCCCATATCTGGAGCAGGGTCCTGACCACACTGCCGTGGTCCTCAGCTCAGAGCCAACGGCCAGTACCCTGGGTGCGCCGCCGTCTCTTCTTACAGATGTAGTAGATAGGAAAGGCCACGAGACCTGAGGAGAGAGCAGAGCAGGAGAGAACAGGCAGGTTAGTATGAGCAGGAACTAAGCTCAGGGAAATGACTGACAGTTAATGCAAGCAAATTAAGTGACACCTCTCACAAGGAAGTGTTAACAGTATTGGTGGTCGATCAAGGAAATACTTTAATAATCTCAATACTGTTCTGTTGTTCGCACTAAGAACATGTTACCTTTGAAATGCGGACACACATAACAGTAAAGATAATTTGTGAGTGGGATTAGAAAGTGACTGTCAACAGCTTTACATCAGTGTGTCATCCTCCCATCGCCCAGTGTAGCAGTGCTATCTGAAGTGGACAAGCAGACACTTAGCCGCTTCTATCAATTTTCACCAAAACACAGGTGGCCTTCTCCAGCACACCACAGCCATTGAACAAGTAGAGTCACACAACATACCTGACCCAAGGGAAAGTAACACATTTTAGATTATACAGTGGGGGAAAAAAGTATTTAGTCAGCCACCAATTGTGCAAGTTCTCCCACTTAAAAATATGAGAGAGGCCTGTAATTTTCATCATAGGTACACGTCAACTATGACAGACAAATTGAGGAAAAAAAATCCAGAAAATCACATTGTAGGATTTTTAATGAATTTATTTGCAAATTATGGTGGAAAATAAGTATTTGGTCACCTACAAACAAGCAACATTTCTGTCTCTCACAGACCTGTAACTTCTTCTTTAAGAGGCTCCTCTGTCCTCCACTCATTACCTGTATTAATGGCACCTGTTTGAACTTGTTATCAGTATAAAAGACACCTGTCCACAACCTCAAACAGTCACACTCCAAACTCCACTATGGCCAAGACCAAAGAGCTGTCAAAGGACACCAGAAACAAAATTGTAGACCTGCACCAGGCTGGGAAGACTGAATCTGCAATAGGTAAGCAGCTTGGTTTGAAGAAATCAACTGTGGGAGCAATTATTAGGAAATGGAAGACATACAAGACCACTGATAATCTCCCTCAATCTGGGGCTCCACACAAGATCTCACCCCGTGGAGTCAAAATGGTCACAGAACCACACGGGAGGATCTAGTTAATGACCTGCAGAGAGCTGGGAGCAAAGTAACAAAGCCTACCATCAGTAACACACTACGCCGCCAGGGACTCAAATCCTGCAGTGCCAGACGTGTCCCCCTGCTTAAGCCAGTACATGTCCAGGCCCGTCTGAAGTTTGCTAGAGTGCATTTGGATGATCCAGAAGAGGATTGGGAGAATGTCATATGGTCAGATGAAACCAAAATAGAACTTATTGGTAAAAACTCAACTCGTCGTGTTTGGAGGACAAATAATGCTGAGTTGCATCCAAAGGACACCATACCTACTGTGAAGCATGGGGGTGGAAACATCATGCTTTGGGGCTGCTTTTCTGCAAAGGGACCAGGACGACTGATCCGTGTAAAGGAAAGAATGAATGGGGCCATGTATCGTGAGATTTTGAGTGAAAACCTCCTTCCATCAGCAAGGGCATTGAAGATGAAACGTGGCTGGGTCTTTCAGCATGACAATGATCCCAAACACATCGCCCGGGCAACGAAGGAGTGGCTTCGTAAGAAGCATTTCAAGGTCCTGGAGTGGCCTAGCCAGTCTCCAGATCTCAACCCCATTGAAAATCTTTGGAGGGAGTTGAAAGTCCGTGTTGCCCAGCGACAGCCCCAAAACATCACTGGTCTAGAGGAGATCTGCATGGAGGAATGGGCCAAAATACCAGCAACAGTGTGTGAAAACCTTGTGAAGACTTACAGAAAACGTTTGACCTGTGTCATTGCCAACAAAGGGTATATAACGAAGTATTGAGAAACTTTTGTCATTGACCAAATACTTATTTTCCACCATAATTTGCAAATAAATTCATTAAAAATCCTACAATGTGATTTTCTGGATTTCTTTTCCTCATTTTGTCTGTCATAGTTGACGTATACCTATGATGAAAATTACAGGCCTCTCTCATCTTTTTAAGTGGGAGAACCTGCACAATTGGTGGCTGACTAAATACTTTTTTCCCCCACTGTATCTCTAAAGCACCAGTGGTTATGTAATGTTTCATGTTGTTATCGAGGGATTAAAAGAGCAGGATTAAAACAGTGGGTAATTGCAGTGGTTTCATGTTATAACAGGATGTAACATTGCTTACCTATGACCAGGGATACTGCACTGACCACCACCACCAGGACTATGACAACAGGGGCCACCACCACTTTACTCACTGGAATGGGAGGGAGACAAAGAGACAACACAGATATGCATAAGGGTAGGACAAGTACACACATGAAAAAGCATTGGGAGGCCAGGGCAGTTTGGAATAGCACCTTCGCACATAGCACATTAACATTTTCAACAGGTTATCAAAGAGGTACTGCGCCATTACAGTACACCCAACCTAAATGATAGGTGCTCTGACTGCAGCTCTGTGTCTGTCGTTCCCTCAGGGCCTTGTGTAGTGCCTCAGCTGTTGCTCCCTAAGTGGGATTAGCTAAAGTTAGTCAGAGGCCAGCAGGGTGCCAATGGAAACATCTGACACACACTAACGGTGGGCTAATGTGTCCATCAGAGGGGCTACAACACCCCGTCTACCTCCCATTAAAACACTCCGCTGCCTGCTCCCATTCTCATGGGATCAAAACAGCCACTAAATCAAAACAGCCACTAGCGAGTTAAAGGACTACGGTTTAGATAATTCACATGTTTGATTTCATTGGCAAGGCTGTTAAAACATGAGAATGGGAGCAGGCAGCGGAGTGTTTTAATGGGAGGTAGACGGGGTGTTGTAGCCCCTCTGATGGACACATTAGCCCACCGTTAGTGTGTGTCAGATGTTTCCATTGGCACCCTGCTGGCCTCTGACTAACTTTAGCTAATCCCACTCAGGGAGCAACAGCTGAGGCACTACACAAGGCCCTGAGGGAACGACAGACACAGAGCTGCAGTCAGAGCACCTATCAGAGAACAGGAGCGCTGTTCCCTATTCTCACACAGCAGGCAGGGTCACAGAGACATGCGTCATCTCAGATAAGGAAGTTCTGCTGATAAGGGTCATGCAAATCATCCACTGTGGTGGCTACTACAGTATACCGTTATTGTTCCGACTTCAGAGCCGTGACAAATTACAATGCAAACTTTTAGCATAGGCACTAGACGTATTGTGAAAATGGGTTGTGAAAGAGTCATGTCTGCAGCATCAAGCTAGTACATGCTGTTTTGATCATCTTCATTATTGTGTGAATTGATTAAGAAGATGAAAGGCCACCCACATGGTAATTGAAGTTTCCTCGTCGCCCCCCGCCTATCTATCTCTCTGAGTCTGACCACAGAGACCAAGGAGGAAAGTCATGGGCAGTGTAATGACTGAATTCTAAAGGGAGGCAGAAGGACTGTAAAACTACAGCTGCTAATCAGAGCATATTTTTAAATCAGCCCTTAAGGGCCTAGTCTAAGTATAGTTGTCATATTGTCAGAGGGTACTGATTGCCTGCTTGTCTAATAATATTAACCATGAAAGGTTATGGGAATCCCAAAATATCCCCTCTATAAAGGGTTTAAGGGCCTCTGGGGCCCGGGCTGAGGCTGGGCAGACTCACCACACACGGACCCCCGGACCAGCCGGCGGAGGTGGGGCTTCTCAGGGAGGTAGCGGTACTTGCAGCCGAACACGCTGAGGTTGGACGTGTGATCCCCGAAGAATCGCAGGTGGCGGTACTTCTCTCCACAGCGGTAGCAGAAGTTGGTGTTGCACTGGGTGCAGTTCATATGATCGCAGCCCTCTGTCCTCTGAATGTGGATCTTGGGAGAGCGACATATAAAAGCTTTATAGAGCATTCATGAAGTCATAAGTCGTTGTTAGTTTAAAGTTGGACCCTAATTTCTGCACAAATTATTAACTATAATTAACAATCACTAGATTATCAGTCAGCTCAATGCAGGTATTTCCAGAATATAAGTATTTTGGTTTGGTTCGAAATCGAGGGAAAATAATGGAACATTTTGTCCTGATATCTGAGCATCACTCAACCCCTTTCCCATCACTCAACCCCTTTCCCTGACTCATGCTGACTGACATTCCATTGAGAGGAGAGTGCTGCCATGGACATACAGCCAGCTAGTAGTCCACATCTCAGTGACAGTTCCTTCCAATACCTAGATGAATTAGCACTCTCACTGTGTATGAAAGAAAGAGCTGACGTGGCTTAGTAAATCTAATTTGGTATTGACTTTCTGCCAAGGACTCCGTCTTATGACTTCCTGGAATGCTTCATTTCCAGCCATTGTTACAAGGGGGGGGAGAAATCTCTCTCTCTCTCTCTCTCTCTCTCTCTCTCTCAAACATATCTTCAATCATCTTTTGTTATTGACATACAACACTGGAGAGAACAGTCGGCCCTGTCTCCACCTGCCCAGTGAAGTGAACACCCTTTAGGAACATGTGAACAAAAAAAAATGTATGCACGCATGACTGTAAGTCGCTTTGGATAAAAGCGTCTGCTAAATGGCATATTATTATTATTGTAACTGTGAACCACAATCTTCCTCCAGTAGCTATGTTATCTAGCAAGGTTTGCTATTATTCTCCACTCTCCTGGCCCTGTCACCCACCTTGCAGCGGGGGCACTTCTGGGCGTTCCTCTGGCCGTGCTCAATGATACTAGCCCAGTGACGCAGCAGCTTGTCCCCTTTCCTGTAGTCCCGGCACTTCAGGCCCTCATGCCAGGGGGCATGGCATTTGAAGCACCACACAAACTGGCACTTCATGCACTGGATCTGCAGAGGCATAGACATGTGATTGGCTAGATAGATGCACGGCGTATAAGAGGCATAGACGTGATTGGCTAGATAGATGCATGGCGTATAAGAAGCATAGATGTGGTGAGAAGAACTGAACTGCCTGCATGGACTAAAACCTCCCTCATTAATGATACATGAAGAAGCACTTTGTCCATGATTCAAAAAACCTCAACATTTTCAGAAGAATTACAAACTGCAGAGGCCCTGTACTCACCTTTTACTTGTGCTCAGTCCTGCTGTATAATATCTGATCTCAGAACAGTATAGGCCCTCTCTCTCACCTTATATTTGTGCTCTGCCCTGCTGGGGGTACGTCCTTTCAGCGAGGTGAACTGGCTGCACTGGGGACAGGGTTTGGTGCTAGAGTCAATCTGGCTTAGCTCCAGGAAGTATTTGTATTTGGCTACTTCCTCACTGCCCAGGTGGGACACCACCAGGCTCTCCTCCAGGTAACCACTGCACTCCGTGATGGGGCACACTATGTCCGCTCTGCCCACCCTGACCTGGGGCAGACATAGACATAACACAGGGATCAATAGAGAGAGATGTGGTTCATGATCTACTCTACAGAATGCTTTATGACAATTGAGGATAAACAAATAATATGAGACAGTGGTCGTACGTTGCATACAAACACAATGCCATTGGCCCTAGATCCGGTAATAAAATATTGTCAATACATTTAGCTACTGGATTGCATGTGTGTTATGTAGGTGAAGGGTAAACAGAACACATAAGCAAATACTACAGTGTACAGTACAGAACATACATTTCCTGGGTGGTACTGTACAAGGCAAAATTCTTTACCAAAAGGTGATTGGTACGATCTGTTGTTACCCTAATCCCCCTATAAGAGATACTGTGTTGCGTGAGAGAACGTGCCTTGGAAGGCTTCCATGAACAACTAGTGAATTCACAAGTCATTTCAATCATTTTGCAGACACCCTTATCCAGAGCAACTTACAGGAGCTATTAAGTGCCTTGCTCAAGGGCACAACAACAGATTTTTTTCAACTAGTCGGCTGGGGAACCTTTCGGTTCCTGGCCCAATGCTCTTAACTGCTAGGCTACCTGCCGCTCCATAGACATAACACTACTACAACAGTGGAAAACTACAGAGGAAAAAGGGCCCAGTATGCCCAGTGAGAGTCTTAGCATTAGCTTCATGAGTACACCCCACCACCACTTCTCCCCCTCCCATGTAGAGCTCCAGGACTCCCTTGCTCCAGGCACAGTGGGTCCCCTCCAGGGTGCTCCTCCCAGGGCATGGTGCAGACAGACGGGCAGGCCCAGGCCGCCCAGAGGATTAGCATAGTGCTGCTGATCTGAGCTGAGTAATCCCCTCCTGGCTGGGCCTGTAGTACATGCCCATACAGTAGACTAGAGAGTGATGCAGCACAGCTCTGGGGTAATGCCCAGCAGACTGAGCAGACTCCTTTCACTATGACAGCCTGGCCTCTGGCCCTATGGACCCTGCTCCTGCACTGTAAAACATTATTGTTGTTTTGACAGTATTATACAATAAAACTAACAGTAAAGTACAATTTAATTATTTACAGAAAATTGCCATAAATGACAATGCAGTCTGGATGATTTTAGGCGTAAATGTTAAATCATACCGTAAATGGTTGCATGGTATTGTTGTTTCTGGCTCATGCCAAATCTTTTCAGTCTCCTGAGGGGGAAAAGGCGTTGTCGTGCCTTCTTCACGACTTTCTTGGTGTGTTTGGACCATGATAGTTTGTTGGTGATGTGGAGACCAAGGAATTTGAAACTCTCGACCCGCTCCACTACAGCCCCGTCGATGTGAATGAGGGCGTGTTCGGCCCTCCTTTTCCTGTAGTCCACGATCATCTCCTTTGTCTTGCTCACATTGAGGGAGAGGTTGTTGTCCTGGCACCAAACTGCCAGGTCTCTGACCTCCTCCCTATAGGCTGTCTCATCGTTGTCGGTAATCAGGCCTACCACGTTGTGTCGTCAGCAAACTTAATGATGGTGTTGGAGTCGTGCTTGGCCACGCAGTCGTCGGTGAACAGGGAGTACCCCTGAAGGGGCCCCCGTGTTGAGAATCAGCGTGGCAGATGTGTTGTTGCCTACCCTTACCACCTGGAGGCGACCCGTCAGGAAGTCCAGGATCCAGTTGCAGAGGGAGGTGTTTAGTCCCAGGGTCCTTAGCTTAGTGATGAGCGTTGTGGGCACTATGGTGTTGAACGCTGAGCTGTACTCAATTAACAGCATTCTCACATAGGTGTTCCTTTTGTCCAGGTGGGAAAGGGCAATGTGGAGTGCGATTGAGATTGCGTAATCTGTGGATCTGTTGGGGCGGTATGCGAATTGGAGTGGGTCTAGGGTTTCCGGGATGATGGTGTTGATGTGAGCCATGACCAGCCTTTCAAAGCACTTCATGGCTACCTACGTGAGTGCTACGGGGAGGTAGTCATTTAGGCAGGTTACCTTCGCTTTCTTGGGCACAGGGACTATGGTGGTCTGCTTGAAACATATAGGTATTACAGACTCGTTCAGGGAGAGGTTCAAAATGTCAGTGAAGACGCTTGCCAGTTGGTCAGCGCATGCTCTGAGTACACGTCCTGGTAATCCGTCTGGCCTCGCGGCCTTGTGAATGTTGACTTGTTTAAAGGTCTTGCTCACATCGGCTATGGAGAGTGTGATCACACAGTCGCCCGGAACAGCTGGTGCTCTCATACATGCTTCAGTGTTGCTTGCCTTGAAGCGAGCATAAAAGGCATTTAGCCCGTCTGGCAGGCTCGCGTCACTGGGAAGCTCGCGGCAGGGTTTCCCTTTGTAGTCCGTAATAGTTTGCAAGTCCTGCCACATCCGACGAGCGTCAGAGCCAGTGTAGTAGGATTCAATCCTAGTCCTGTATTGACGCTTTGCCTGTTTGATGGTTCGTCTGACGGCATAGCGTGATCACACTCTTCATCTATATTCTTCGTAGCTGTCTATTTACCACCACAAACCGATGCTGGCACTAAGACATCACTCAATGAACTGTATACGGCCATAAGCAAACAGAAAAACGCTCATCCAGCGGCGGCGCTCCTAGTGGCCGGGGACTTTAATGCAGGGAAACTTAAAACCGTTTTACCTCATTTCTACCAGCATGTTAAATGTGCAACCAGAGGGAAAACAACTCTCGACCACCTTTACTCCACACACAGAGACGCATACAAAGCTCTCCCTTGTCCTCCATTTGGAAAATCTGACCATAATTATATCCTCCTGATTCCTGCTTTCGAGCAAAAACTAAAGCAGGAAGCACCAGTGACTCGGTTAATAAAAAAAGTGGTCAGATGAAGCAGATGCTAAGCTACAGGACTGTTTTGCTAGCACAGACTGGAATATGTTCCGGGATCCTTCCGATGGCATTGAGGAGTACACCACATCAGTCACTGGCTTCATCAATACATCAATAAGTGCATCAATGATGTCGTCCCCACAGTGACCGTACGTACATACCCCAACCAGAAGCCATGGATTACAGGCAACATCCGCACTGAGCTAAAGGGTAGAGCTGCCGCTTTCAAGGAGCGGGACTCTAACCCGGAAGCTTATAAGAAATCCCGCTATTCCCTCTGACGAACCATCAAACAGGCAACGCGTCAATACAGGACTAAGATCGAATCGTACTACACCCGCTCCAACGCTCGTCGGATGTGGCAGGGCTTGCAAACTATTACAGACTACAAATGGAAGCACAGCCGCGAGCTGCCCAGTGACACAAGCCTACCAGACGAGCTAAATTACTTCTTTGCTCGCTTCGAGGCAAGTAACACTGAAACATGCATGAGAGCATCAGCTGTTCCGGATGACTGTGTGATCACGCTCTCTGTAGCCGATGTGAGTAAGACCTTTAAACAGGTCAACATTCACAAGGCTGCAGGGCCAGACGGATTACCAGGACGTGTACTCCGAGCATGCGCTGACCAACTGGCAAGTGTCTTCACTGACATTTTCAACCTCTCCCTGTCTGAGTCTGTAATCCCAACATGTTTCAAGCAGACCACCATAGTTCCTGTGCCCAAGAACACTAAGGTAACCTGCCTAAATGACTACAGACCCGTAGCACTCACGTCTGTAGCCATGAAGTGCTTTGAAAGGCTGGTCATGGCTCACATCAACACCATTATCCCAGAAACCCTAGACCCACTCCAATTTGCATATCGCCCCAACAGATCCACAGATTATGCAATCTCTATTGCGCTCCACACTGCCCTTTCACACCTGGACAAAAGGAACACCTATGTGAGAATGCTATTCATTGACTACAGCTCAGCGTTCAACACCATAGTGCCCTCAAAGCTCATCACTAAGCTAAGGACCCTGGGACTAAACACCTCCCTCTGCAACTGGATCCTGGACTTCCTGACGGGCCGCCCCCAGGTGGTATGGGTAGGTAACAACACATCCGACACGCTGATCCTCAACACGGGGGCCCCTCAGGTGTGCGTGCTCAGTCCCCTCCTGTACTCCCTGTTAACTCATGACTGCATGGCCATGCACGACTCCAACACCATCATTAAGTTTGCCGATGACACAACAGTGGTAGGCCTGATCACCGACAACAACGAGACAGCCTATAGGGAGGTCAGAGACCTAGCCGTGTGGGGCCAGGATAACAACCTCTCCCTCAACGTGATCAAGACAAAGGAGATGATCAGGTAGCACAGTTGGTAGAGCATGGCGCTTGCAACACCAGGGTTGTGGGATCGTTTCCCACGGGGGCCCAAAATATATGTACTCACTAACTGTAAGTCGCTCTGGATAAGAGCTTCTGCTAAAATGACTAAAATGTAAATGATTGTGGACTACAAGAAAAAGAAGAGGACCGAGCACGCCCCCATTCTCATCAACGAGGCTGTAGTGGAGCAGGTTGAGAGCTTCAAGTTCCTTGGTGTCCACATCACCAACAAACTAACATGGTCCAAGCACACCAAGACAGTCGTGAAGAGGGCACAACAAAACCTATTCCCCCTAAAGAGACTGAAAAGATTTGACATGGGTCCTCAGATCCTCAAAAGGTTCTACAGCTGCACCATCGAGAGCATCCTGACTGGTTGCATCACTGCCTGGTATGGCATCTCTGGGCCAAGCTTCCTGCCATCCAGGACCTCTATAACAGGCGGTGTCAGAGGAAGGCCCTAAAAATTGTCAAAGACTCCAGCCACCCTAGTCATAGACTGTTCTCTCTGCTACCACACGGCAAGCGGTACGGGAGCGCCAAGTCTAGGTCCAAGAGGCTTCTAAACAGCTTCTACCCCCAATCCATAAGACTCCTGAACATCTAATCAAATGCCTACCCAGACTATTTGCATTGCCCCCCCACCCCTCTTTTACGCTGCTGCTACTCTCTGTTTATTATCTATGCAATAATAACTCTACCTACATGTACATATTACCCCAATTACCTCGACTAACCGGTGCCCCCGCACATTGACTCGGTACCGGTACCCCCTGTATATAGCCTCGCTATCGTTATTTTTACTGCTGCTCTTTAATTATTTGTTACTTTTATTTCGTATTATTTTATATTGTATTTTTTGGTGATTTTTTTTGGTATTCTTTCTTAAAACTGCATTGTTGGTTAAGGGCTTGTAAGTAAGCATTTCACTGTAAGGTCTACACCTGTTGTATTCGGCCCATGTGACAAATAACATTTCATTTGATTTGATTTCATATAAGCGTCCGTATTAGTGTCCTGCTCTTTGAAAGCGGCAGCTCTAGCCTTTAGCTCGGTGCGGATGTTGCCTGTAATCCATGGCTTCTGGTTGGGATATGTACGTACGGTCACTGTGGGGACCGATGAAGCCGGTGATTGATGAAGCCGGTGATTGAGGTGGTATACTCCTCAATGCCATTGTATGTATCCCGGAACATATTCCGGTCTGTGTTGCAGCCGGCCGCGACTGGGAGACCCATGAGGCGACGCACAATTGGCCCAATGTCGTCCGGGTTAGGGGAGGGTTTGTCCGGCCCGGGATGTCCTTGTCCCATCACGCTGTAGCGACTCCTGTGGCGGGCCCGGGCGTATGCACGCTGACACGGTCGCCAGGTGTACGTTGTTTCCTCCGACACATTGATGTGGCTGGCTTCCGGCTTAAGCGTGCATTGTGTCAAGAAGCAGTGCGGCTTGGCGGGGTTGTGTTTCAGAGGACGCACAGCTCTCGACCTTCACCTCTCCTGAGTCTGTACGGGAGTTGCAGCGATGGGACAAGACTGTAACTACCAATTGGGATATGGCGAAATTGGG